AAATTCATAAAAAAATATCGTTAAAAATTAATTTAATTAAATAGTATGAAGTTGTTATTAGAAAATTAATAAACTAAATTAAAGTAAAATAAAAGTAAAATATAATAACTGAAACTGAAAGCATCTAAAGTTAGTAGAAAAAAAAGTACACAAATTATTAGATTATTTATTAAATTAAGTCAAATTATTAAATAAAAGTTGTATAACGTTCTTATAAATAGGTTAAAATAGTACTATAAATAAAATTACAATAATATTATTTTATATCTAATATAAATAAAAAAATAAAACAATTAAATTAAAACACTCAGTTTAATAAAGCAAAGAGTACTTTTTTTAATAAAAAAGGGGAAAATCGATAGGTTCCTTAAAGTTCTTTGTTGTTTTGCTGGCTTCTGAAGATATACTGAGTTTCGTCAGATCCGAAGAAAAAGGTGGTATTAACAAATAGAAAAACAGTGAAAAATACTTGCAGAAAAAAGAATGTGTAGTTACGAAAATACTCACCTTGTACACCATTGAGATTCACTGAAATCTTTTCTAGAAACACATGTTTGAATATTTCGATTGTGGTTTAGGTACAAACAAATTTAGTGTGAGATATGACACACTTGCCACCATTGAGTATGAGACTTGGCTCCTTTTTTCTTTTAAATATATGGAGACTAAAAATTATTTTGTACGGTTAATTTTAATTTGAGTAGAAATTTACTTGATATTCATGAGATTCATCATTGACTTTTATTTTTTGGTAGTAATATCTTAATATTCAACAACCACAATGAATATTAATTAATTTAAAATTGAGTTGTGTTAGATCCATAAAAATAAAAACTCTAATAATATCTATTTTTCTTTTCATAAGAGTCAAATTCGAATTCTTATTTAATAAAAATCAAACTCATTTCACTTGTATCAACAGGTTGATAGTGAAATTCAAGACTGATTGATAAATCGTAACCTCACACAACATCTAATTTGTACGATTAATTTTAATTTGAGTAGAATTTTATTTGATATTCATGAAATTTATGATTGATTTTTATTTTTTGACAATAACCTTTTAATATACAACAACCACAATAAATCTTAATTAATTCAAAATTAAGTTGTGTTGAATCCATAAAAAAAAAAACTCTCATAATATCTATTTCTCTTTTTATAAAATTTAAATTCAAAATCTTATTTAATAAAAATCAAATTCATTTCACTTGTATCAACAAATTGAAAGTGAAATTCAAGACTGATTGATAAATCGTAACCTCACACAACATCCACTTGTTTAGGGGGCGTTTGTTTCAAAGGTTGGAGACAAGTTGATGATTGTAACCCTCTAATAATTTAGGCTAGGATTCACCAAAAAATTTTTACGAACCGATTTTTAACTGCCATTAGTTATTGGAGCCTTAAATAATAATTAGTTGTTGAATGTCTTGTAATATTCCCTTCGTAATAAAATAGCTATTTTTTAATTTGAAATTTATTTTAAACTAATTTTTATTTTTATTTTTAAGTTAGATTAAAATATATTTTTTATTTTAATTTTATTATAATTTATTTACTTTAATTAATTATTTTATTACAAAAAAATTTCTCTCAATATTTTAGGCAAATATATATTTAAAAATAATATATAAAAATACATAAATTATTTACAAATCCTTCATTAAAAAAAGTCAAAAAATTGGAGTCGGTTGGGAACAGAGTAAGTTTTACACAAGAAATGTTTATACGTGTACCATCTCTAATTTGTAAATATCCGTGGACTAAGTTTGGAGTAAGGTCCGAATATTCATATTAAAAAAATAAATTACAGTAAAATGATTTTTTTTTTGGTAGAAAAGTAAAATCATTACTCACTTCATATTTTTAATCTTTTTAATTTTTTTGGATTTATATATATATATATATATATATATTTGCTTATTAAAGGGCTATTCTGCTCTTCTAGTGTGGGCATTTTGGACTCTTGCGCATGATCCAAAAAGGCGCTTCCTTTCTCCCTCCTTTTCTTTGTCTTCCTTCTGTGTGCTTGTGGCTCTTTTATCTGCTCTTGTGTCGGCCATAGTTCTTGATTGAATCGTTGAAGAAGGAAAAATACAAGGAGATTCATTCTCATCCCCTGTTTTTCTTCTCTTTCTCTGTTTTTTTTCCCCTGAATCTCTGCAATCGTTTTTGGTTAATTCGATGGTTTCTGGAGGAAAATCTGGAACTGGATTGGTTCCAGAGAATTGGGTGTAGGGTGAGATTTTTGGGTTTCCTTCTTTTTCTAATAAAAGAGAGTGTCAGAGAAGAGAGATTCCGTGTATTATTTATTCTGTTTCTGAGTTTGTGGATCTCGGGTCTTTGAAAGTAGGAGTGAGGAAGGTGACTGGAGATTCCAGTGAATTAACACTGTTTGTTTCTCTCCGGAAAATATTGTAATCGTCCTCTAATTCTCAAAAAGAAAACAGGGAAGAAGCAGGGTTACTGTTTCAATCTTCTGAATCATTGGAAACAGTTTTGATGCTGATTGCTGAAGTTGTGTCAGGGAACCTACAGAGCTGTTTCAAGCTTTGTGATTGTTGAAAAAATTTGGGGTATTTTTTTTCTCAACTTTTTACATGATGGGTGATGAAGACGAAGCTTTATTGAGAAAGATGGAGCTTTACGGAATCTAAAGTTGGTTTTTCTAGTTTTTCAGCAATGTTTAGATTCCGTTCTGCAATATCTCCGGTGAGGATTGAAGAACATCCTCACTGCATATTTACGTGGCGCCGGTGATTCTTATTTTTCTGGTGTTCCTCCATTCATTCATGCCTGTTAAGGTAAAAAATTTGTTTCCCTTCACTTTAATTATGATTCCCTTTTTATTTCCATCAATTTCATGAACAATATGCTGAATTCTTTTAGTACTGATCTTTTCTTTCCTTTTTTTACAGCATTTACTTTTGCAATCATTGTTTTGGTTGAGATGATTAGGTTTATGGATTCAAAAGAAAACCCGAAGGAGGTGGAGAAGTACTTGGATTCTCAGCTATGGCATGCCTGTGCCGGGGGAATGGTTCAGATGCCTCCGGCAAATGCCAAAATCTTTTACTTTCCTCAGGGTCATGCTGAGCACGCCTGTGGCCCTGTGGATTTCAGGAACTGCCCAAGAATACCTCCGTATGTGCTTTGTAGAGTCACTGCTATCAAATTCATGGCTGATTCTGAGACTGATGAGGTTTTTGGGAAAATTAGTTTGGTCCCATTGAGTGCTAATGAGGTTGATTTTGAGGATGATGGGAATGGAGGCATTCATGGTAATGATACGCAGGAAAAGCCGGCTTCTTTTGCAAAGACATTGACTCAATCTGATGCCAACAATGGTGGGGGTTTCTCTGTTCCACGGTACTGTGCTGAGACTATTTTCCCAAGATTGGATTACTCTGCTGACCCCCCTGTCCAGACAATTCTTGCAAAGGATGTTCATGGTGAGACTTGGAAGTTTAGGCATATTTATAGGGGGACGCCTCGAAGGCATCTGTTGACTACTGGATGGAGCAATTTTGTGAACCAAAAGAAGCTTGTAGCTGGCGATTCAATTGTGTTCTTGAGAGCGGAGAATGGGGATCTTTGCGTGGGGATTAGACGGGCAAAGAGGGGGATTGGAGGGGGACCTGAGTCATCAACCGGGTGGAATCCAGCGGGTGGGAATTCTGTAATGCCTTATGGAGGGTTTTCAGCATTTTTGAGGGAGGATGAGAACAAGCTGATAAGAAATGGAAATGGGATGAACTCAAATAGTAATTTGATGCGAAAGGGGAAAGTGAGGCCTGAATCAGTTATTGAAGCTGCAACACTTGCATCCAGTGGACAGCCGTTTGAGGTTGTCTATTACCCTCGGGCGAGCACCCCAGAGTTCTGTGTCAAGGTCTCATTGGTGAAGGCAGCATTACAGATCCAGTGGTGTTCTGGAATGAGATTCAAAATGGCCTTTGAAACGGAGGACTCTTCAAGGATTAGTTGGTTTATGGGTACCATATCTTCTGTTCAGGTTGCTGATCCACTCCGTTGGCCTGACTCACCTTGGAGGCTTCTTCAGGTATGCCAGTCTTTCTGTATTACACTATTGTCTCTGAGATTCTTGCATAAGATTCTCTGGGTTTCTTACTGTTCGTGTTTTTGATTGAAATTTTCAATTCCTGATGCTATCTGGCTGTAATCCACGGCCTCGATTCACCAATTTTTGAGCTTCTTTAATCAATTTGGCTATTCCAGTTCAGGTTGCTGTCTTTGGTGCCAATTCAGATGCACAGCCGATCATGTCCCCACCTGTTCTTTTGTTTTGTTATTTACTTGAATTGTATATATGCGTCTTGTATGCCAAACGCCTATCTTGTATTTTTGGCTTGCTGCATAAAATTGCTGACAATGAAAATTCAGTATAAAATGCTTGGTTAGGTGCGTCTACAATTTATGTAGAAATAAAAATGCTATTCCCATATCTATTGGATTTGGTCTCCTATCATTTTGACTTCAAATTGTTGTCGATATTGCCCAATGTTTCTGAATATCATACTGAATGATTTCTTCTTTAAAAAAGAAAAAAAAAATGGAAAGAAGAAGAAGAAGAAGAAGAAGAAGAAGAAAAATGCTAGAACTTTGCTCCATTCAGTTTGTTCTTAATTTGCTCATGTTTTGCAGGTTACATGGGATGAGCCAGATTTGCTTCAAAATGTGAAACGAGTTAGTCCATGGTTGGTCGAGTTGGTATCTAACATGCCTGCCATTCATCTTTCTCCATTTTCGCCCCCAAGGAAGAAGCTGAGACTTCCACAACACCCAGATTTCCCGCTTGATGGCCATTTTCCAGTGCCAAACTTTCCAGGAAACCTTCTTATGCCCAACAATCCCTTTGGATGTCTACCAGAAAAAACTCCTGCAGGCATGCAGGGAGCCAGGCATGCTCATTATGGTCCATCCTTACCGGGTTTCCACTTCAACAAACTGCAGTCAGATCTCTTTCCGGCTGGTTTCCCACCGCTTGATCACACTCCTACACCCAATAGGACATTCAATGATGGTCCAATCATTCAGAAACCTACCATGAGCAATAACGTTTCTTGCTTTCTAACCATGGCACATTCTTCTCAAAGTTCAAAGAAAACCATTGATGTGACAACACCCCAGCTTGTACTTTTTGGTCAGCCAATTCTTACAGAGCAGCAGATCTCTCTTAGCCGCTCTGGTGATACAATCTTAACAGTTCCTACTAGAAATAGTTCATTTAAGGGAAATCCAGATAAAATGGAAAATTTTTCTGATGGTTCTGGATCGGTAGTTCTTCATCAAGGCCTACCAGAGCGCTCATCTTGTGAAAGTTTTCCACGGTACAAGGACAATCGCCAAGGAGCTGAACCTAACTTGGAGACTGGTCATTGTAAAGTTTTCATGGAATCAGATGATGTAGGCCGCACAATTGATCTTTCATTGCTTCGATCTTATGATGAACTGTCCAGAAAGCTAGCAGACATGTTTGGCCTTGAAAAATCAGAGACACCAAACCATGTGCTCTACCTGGACGTTAAAGGTGCAGTCAAACACATTGGAGATGAACCATTCAGGTACAAGCCGATTTTCTTTGCAATTCTATTCTCCCCTTTTACTAACTATGATTAATCCTGGGTGTTATAACAATCTGTTTCTCATTGCCATTACAGTGACTTCACAAAAACTGTGAGGAGACTAACAATCCTAACGGATTCAAGCAGCGACAATATAGGAAGGTAGAAGAAAGAAAAAATAATCGGCAATGTCAAATTTGTATAGCCGCTTTGCTCAAGCCATTCATACTTGTGCTGACCATTTAGCTTTCGGGATGAACCAATCCAAGTTTTGGACTTCCAGCCAAATCTTCCAACCAAAATACATGGATTTTGAAATTTCCTTCCTATGTAGTTAAAAATGATATATTTATAATATTATAGGATTATAAATTTATAATCATAATTTATCATTTATATAATTAATTTTTTTATTTAAAAGTCTATATATTTTATATAAATACTTATTTAATAATATATTATAATTATAAATTTATTATAATTATATTATAACTATAACATTTACTCTATATGTAATAGTGCCTTTAAATGAACATAATCTGTGTATTAGAGTTGTGTGTCCCACTTTTCTTTTTTTTTTT